ATTGAGAAAAGAAGGTGGCAAAGGGTGAAATGCTGACAAAAGTCACTATTTTAGGACCATGAAGAAGATTGTAAGTTTTCTAGCAAGAAATATCATGCTTACCTTGTTCACTGTCTCTAAGGCTTAGCACATTATATGAAACACAATGGTTGCTCAATAATATTTGTTGAATAAAATTTGAATAAATAAAATTTCAGAAAACATTAGGGGAACCAATGAGCTGTCGTGTCCTGAAAATCAAAGGGAAAAGGAAGATTCTGAATGATTGGAAAATGCCAAATAACATAGTAAAGAAGTCAAGCAGAATGGAACCTGCAAAGAACCCCATTATGGTTTGTGTCTGGATGCCCCCCCCCCCAAGCCTTATGCCATTATGGGGGCAGGCCTTTTGCAGGTAGAGGTGGCTGAATCTAGAGTTTGTGATTGGTTCGTTGTCTAGTGCTGGGATTGGGCATGTGTGAGTGTCATACTTGCCTTAGGGCAGGTAGCCTGTACACAATATAAGGGAGGAAAATAGGCTTGCTCCTGTCCCTTTTACTCTTGTTGCTTTGGCAGTCTTCCACTGCCATGAACTGTTGCTCCTCTGCCATGTGCCACCCTGCCTTTGAGCCAGATGATTATGGACTGAAACGTCCACAAACTGTAAGCTAAATAAACCTTTCCTCCCTTAATTTTGGGCATTAGCTATTTTGTCTCAGCAACGAGAAAAGTAACTAAAACAAACCCAGACAGTTAAGCAGCCATTGGTAGCTTGAAATAGGGCAATAACAATGTAGACTCAATCTAGACTGCAGCCGGTTAAGGGTAAATGGCTGTTGGGGAAGAATAAACAGCACAATGACCAAGAATGTGGCAGTAATGTCTTCAAAGGGGTGGGAGTTACTAAAGTAAATGAAGTGATATTTTTAATTTTTTCTACATTTTGGTATTTTTTGTTTGTTTTTTAGTTTTGGTTTTTGAGACAGGATCTCACTAAGTAATCCAGGTCAGCCTCAAATCTGCTACATAGCCCAGGTAGTCCTCAAACTCCCAATCCTCCAACCTCAGCCTCAAGAGTGCTGGGATTATAGGCCGTGCTACCATGCACAGCCAGAGTTTTGTTTGGTTTTGATTTTGAAATTGTTTTTATAATGGAGATTTCAATACTATTTGTAGGAGAAAAAAGGAAACCAGAGTTGAGAAACAGATTAAAGAAGGTAAAAGAGAAGTAGATAATTGTTTGTGGTTAATATTTCCATCATCATTTCATCTTGTGCATGCTTATCATGTCTTCAATTTACATTTAGTTAAGCTTGAAAACAAGCTAGAGTGCTGTAATCTGCCTCATTGGGACATTCAGTAAGCTAAAATCAACTTGAGAATTTAATATAGCTTCATGCTTTCCTAATATGTTCTTTTTATATGTATATGTCTTATCATCTATGCAGTGAAGGGCAAGTTAATACTCCAAGTACAGTGGTAAAATTGTGGAATTTTCTATACAATTCAAATAGGCAATAAATAATATGCACTGATAATTTAAGCCAATCATCTTTATATTAGTTTGATAAGGTAATTAGGGCAATAGCATACTTTTCTCCTGTGATCTGGCTTGTCAGAGCTTATAGAGTATATGGGCACATTTTCCAGAGACTCCACAGTTGTGCCTAAAACCTAGAAGATTACTGGCAGTTGTAGTCAATACAAGTCCTTTCTTGCCTCAATCAACCATAGGAAGTGACAATTTGTTTACTGTAAAAACCAACCGCCTAAATTTGGTGTTATTTTTTATGCCAGGGATTATTTTGGCAGTCTAGTGAAGCCTATTGACTTCTTTTTTGAGTAATATTCTTGGGTTGAGCAGGTAGCTCTGTGGTTGAGTGTATGCTTAGGCCTGTGTGAAGCCCTGCATTTGATCCCCAGGATTGCAAAAAAGATTTCTTAAATGCATACAAAAAAAATCATGGGATTACTGCAATGGAAACCAGTTATATTAAAGTACAATTATCAAAAGACCTAATAAATTCGATATGGTACCATATTTCTTTAGTAATGCACTAAATTATTCTCTGTTCTTATCTTAAAATATTTATATTTGGTGTGTTAATAATATATTCTTATCCATGTATTACCTATATAAATAGTCATTTGATGATTCACTAGATGATGTATTCATGTGACTGCACCAGTATCCTTGGTCATCTCATAGATATCCTGTGCTTATATACCTACAAATATATATGCTATATATTCTAATTATTTATAGTTATTTGATATAAGATATTTATTAGCAGGCAAAACAGAAGACCACTTTAACAATTCATAGAGACACAGCCCCAAACAAGAAAGTATTCCTTTTGATCCTTAAAGTGAGAATGGATTTTGTCTATCTCTGTACCTCTTTAACATGATATTCAAACTTTGATGACTGGTATAATAACTGGGAAATTCATAGTGGAAAGGACCAACTTGGACAAGTTACAACTTTAAGGAAAGAAGATGGTATTTCAGTCAGATTTTTACTTACATATGGCTAAAGGCATTTTACTCATGCTTTCTGCAAAAGAGAATAAAGACATGTTTTCTCCCTTTACCCTCCTAGGCACCCAAATAAGTCTCCCACTAGAATTTTTACCTTAAGTATGCTTGGTTGTATTAGAGCCTCTTATGAAAGCACATTCAGATAGGGACAAAGTGGGAAGAAAACATAAGGACCATGACTACTTGGGCAGTTGGGCACTTAACTAAAGATGATTCATGATATCCTGAAACCCTATGCTTTACATTATGCCAATAAGTTGTACGGATATTTCACTTGAATGAACATCATCACTCCTTTGAAAGAAATTTAGCGGAAACTTATCATTAAATCCTGAATTTAACATTTAGCTTTTCTGTTCCTTTATATAGGACTGTTATGTAAATTCTAAAAATATTACTTTAAAGCATCTAAAACAAGCCTATCTATAAATACTTTCTCATAATGAAATGCTATAGAGTTCCTATCTATTGTAGTTATTTTAATTAATTTTAGTCAAAGTACAGAGAATTCAAATATCTTAAAAGTGTCTGAAGCATGAAAAACACTTTGTAAGATAAACGGAATTGAGCATAGAAGATGAGAGCCAACTAATACAGATGAGAGTCTAGTTCAAAGGGTGTAAAAGAAAAAAAAAAACTTTCCCCCAAGAACGTCATCTCTCACACCTGTCTTTCTCTGCCATTTTCCAAAATACTAAAAAATTTAAAACTTTACAACAAGAAGATATTGTATGAAATTAAACAATAATGAAGGAAGTAGTTCTAGACTTAAGGGAAAAGTAAACTATTATCGCTGGATCTCAAGGTTTTTTCAGTCTTATCATGGTCATTCACACTGACAAGGCAGATGACAATGTAAAACAGTGAGACAAAGTCTAGAACCCACACACCAAAGCAGTGCTTGATCTTAGAAACTCTTTGTAATACCTGGAAAATTTGAGAACATCATCCTCCACCATATGAAGGGATGCAGTATCTAGGAAGTCCTCAGCTATCTAGAATGATCTGGGGTGCTTTTTGCAAAAGTACAATGAATAAGATAAGGCAGAGTCAAAAAATCAACGTTTTGCTGAAAGACATTTTTTTTCCCCAAGCAAGACATATTTACAAGTGGCAAGATTCAAGAACAAACTGTTAACGAATCAAACCTAACACTTTCAATAAATGTAGCATTGAGCCTCAAGGTAGTACATAAATAGTATACTGGCAGAATCACATGGAAAAGTGCACAGAGCCTTACATCATTATTTCTGCTTTCAAAATCTAGAATATACATATGAGATGATGTTCTGAATTAAGATGTCTCAAAATTTTAGAATTCCAAGTTTTCTGGCATTATCCTTTCTTCATAAGAGTAATCATTTCACCTTATTCTGATATTTTCTTAAAGATATCATATACCAAGATATAGGAAGCCATTTTTTCATAAATGTATTGGGCAATTTTATTAAGTTGAATTAAGTATGGTTCTGAAAATTATATTTTAAATATTTTAAAAAATAGAGCCAATTGGTTAAAATTATCAAAACCCACAAGATGAACATTTGGAATATAAATTATTGTAAATGACTTTGGCTATTATTGAGTTTTTAAATATAATAATGAAATAGTACTCAATAGCTGAACAACTTCATATTTGAACTCAACAGTTAACATTATCTGTGCCAGCATATTACCCAGTGCAATTGGAAAACTGCAGCATCTCTGATTATTTGGGTCACTCTACCTTTGTGAAATTATCCTAGAAATTTCATTGAAGTTTTCTCTACTTTCTGGAATCCATTAAACTTTTTTCAACCAGGTACCTAAAGAAATTCCTGTGCCTACAGTCTCTATATGATTTGATGGATGATATCTAAACAGCCTATTCAATGTTAACTTCTAGAACTTTTTTGTGTGTCCTAACCACTTTAATTTTCTGATGGTGCAGAAAACCAGAAAAAGGAAACATCAGGTAGAAACTGAACGTCACCTAGTGATATCAGTCAGTTCCTGGTACTGTCAAAGGGCTTCCAAGCAAAATACTAAGTTTAATTCCCATAATATTTGCAGCACTTTCAAGTTCCACTTTTTGGTGCTGTCCTCTCACAGTCACGGTTGTATGCCAATTCATGTTCTCATAGACTAAAGAAAATTAACTTTCTTCTGTTTTGCAGATCGATGCAGAAGAAGGCATCAGACATCATTCATTTTAAATTATCCAGAAGAGGCTCCGAAATGTGTATAACTTATAGCTTCTATTTTTATTTTCCCAACCTGTTAAGAAGTTTTTGGACAAGAAGATGGCTGGGTTCCAAAGGCATTAGACTAATATTGTGCTTGCTATTCCTCTCCAAGAATCCTATTAACTCCCATTGGAAAGGAGAGTGGTGTGAACTGCATTTCGCGGTGTAACTCTCTGAAACCCCCTCACAAACACACAAGAGGCGCGGGGCGGGGGGCAAAAAAGCAGCAGGGAAAGGGGTCAGGAGAAGACTCACCGCTTCTGCCAGTTCCTCCGTCAGGCACAAGGAAACCAGGAGCAGCCACAACCTGAAGGGAGAAGGAGGGTGAGTAATATGGGCTCTCTGGGCTTTAGGGTCCCATGCCTGCCGGTACCTACCCAACCCCTTTTGATGCCTGCTCCCACTTTCTTTGCAGTGACAGAAGTATAAATATAGTCCCGGCCTGCAAAGTAGCCCGAAGTAAGAAAGAGGAGGAGAGCTGGAGGTTTGGGCAGCAACAGCTCACCCAGGGTACATGCTTGCTGCTTCTCCGGAGCTGTGTCCTGGGAGACTCTAAGCAGCTCCGCGGCGCTCGCTCATCGGGGTTTGCTGATGTTGTGCGGCTGCTTTCTTACTCAGAACAGGGTAAGGGGCAGAAGCAGCTCAGTTTTGAAGCAACTGAAGTCAGCTTCTAGATAAGAACTGCCCCAAAGGGAAATGCTCAGCGGTGCCCTCTACAACTTGCAGCACTCAGGAGATAGTTCCAGGCGCCTGGAGAGAAAGGAATGGAGGGGGAAGGGGCGGGGCCGTCGGCTGTCAATCATCTCCCCCTTGGGCAGCTGGTTGTCTTTCTCACTTTCTGCCACCTCTACATACAACATTCCCAAATGTCTCCACAACTTCAGGCATAGGTCTCTAGAGACCTGTACATGAAGACTTAAGCAACTGGACAATATACACTCCCTTAAACCACTTAAATTACACAGAGTTAGGCACACTACTCCTACATAGACAGGCCACAAAGTGCCCCTGCACATAGGTTGAAATGCATACCATAACTGGCTGCACACTAAGCACTTGGGAAGGGCAGGGGGTTTCTGGATTTGTAGATCTACTTTACAGTCAATAGAACCTAAGGATGAATGGGCCCGCATAAAATAGATCTAAATTATGAAAGTCTGTAAAGTGGTTAACCCTAGGGACTGAGATAAGAGAAGTATTTCAAACAATTCTTCAGTAAATTCCTGAAAGACCCTCCAGGGTGTACATAAATAGTTCTTGGGCCATTTGATACTTTAAAAAAAAAAACTATCAGAATTGTCAAATAATGTTAGATTCAATTTCTAGCTACTGCATATACATATTTCCAATTAAGTGTTGTGTTCATTGCAAGAAAAACTGCACTGAAGTTATTAAATTCTCTGCTGTAAATTCTTTTGAAACACAACTAAGACAGTCAATACCCTTAATGTTAGCTCAATATAGGAGGTAAATATTATGGCATTAAATGTAACTGACTAAAAAAAGTGACTGTATTACACACATAGCATCCAATCATATAATAATTACTAATCTAGAGAATGCCTCCAAATCTTACACATGTATCACACACACATGACGTATTCACCCATATATATTTTCATTTTCATCTTCGTTTATATTATTTCCAATATTTTCACATCTTATGCCTGTGTATAGAAACTTTGCCCAGTGAGCACTTTGTAGACAGACAAGACCCTTAACCCAGACAGCAGCCACCAAAATTTGTTTCTAATTATTAACAATAAAAAGCAGTGTCTCTCTCTGAGATTCATCCGCTTAAAAAAATAGTCCCTACTCAGGTCTATTTGTAATTAGCTTGATACTCACACGAAAGACGGCGGGACTGGGCGGGGGAAAGTAGGGTCAACGTAAGGTGTAAATTAACGAAAAGAAACGCTTCCTGGTTGGACTCATAATACTCAGCCCAGTGGTCTAGAAGTTTCCCTCCTCCAAATAACTGAGCGTCACTCCCTCGCAGGTTGCTGGTGCAGTCTAAAACTGTGGCGGAGTGATACTCAAATTCCCCCGTGCAGGCGGGGAGGGGTCAGTGCGGTGGGGGGGATGAGAGGGAGGAAAGTAGATCTGTAGGACTTGAGTGAGGAAAAAGTTTGCAAGTCTGAACAGAAGGGAAAGGTGCTCCGGAGAGACTGGCTTTGGGGAGGGGAGGGGGGAGGGGAGCACAACTACTTTTTTTTACTTTTATTTTTTCTTCTCCACTCTTAAAAAGCTTCTTTCTCTTCACCCAAGCCGACTGGCACAATTGGAACACCCGCTGACCCACTGTGGCTCAAGCTTTCTCTCAATAAATCCTCAAGATTATGTCAATCGGTCAGAGTCAGCCAGGGATTTCGTGCGGGTGCTGAAGGAGCTGCAGGAGCCAGGGAAGAATGAAACTGCGTGGAGTCAGCCTGGCCGCCGGCTTGTTCTTACTGACCCTGAGTCTTTGGGGGCAGCCCGCAGAGGCTGCGGTAAGTCCTCCCCCAGCCCCCATCACCGCACTCTCGCGCTGAAATCACTTCTTGTCCTTTTACCTCTCTTTCTCCTTGGCCTTCGCTAGGGAACTCAAATTTGCTTTCACTTATTTAGGAATAAACATTATTTACTACTCTGGTAAGGCAAGCCTTCTGAAGCTCAAGGGAGAATTTTACGTGTTTAAAAATAGGGCTGCTCTCTTCCCTAAAGCTAGCTCTTCTGGGGCTAGCTTAATTTCTCACTAGGCTCTGGTGAGTATTTAAAACTTTTCCCTCCGCCCTCGGGTGTTTCCCTGCCTAACCTTCTCACTTACTTGTGCGCAGCCCACGCACTCTTTCAACTTTGCCTATAGCTTAATATTTTGGCTCTTCTAAAATCCTGCTTCTATCAAAGTGTTAAGCTCCCAGATGAAGTTCTTCTCCTTTACTTTTTCCTTAAGCAATAGGAATCTATCCCCCACGTTAGGTCAGTATAGCTACTGACCTGCTTTCTTTCCCCTTTTGACAGCCTTGTTACACAAATACTAAGGTAACATACGAGGAAGAATGAGGTAAAGACGGATGGCTTCAGACTTTTGCTTTTTTTTCCCCCTCTTTTTTAAATTATGGGCTTTTGTTTTCTTTTTTTAATTCACAAAGGCACCTGAGTAAATCTAGAGTATGCCCATCACCTGTTTAACAAGTAAGCCCTTCACCTAATTAAAAGAAAAGAATTGCGTGTTTTCAAAGGAGAATGAGCAGTCTAAGTTAAAAGGACCACTGAGGAGAATGTACGTGTGAAATGACAGAGCAAAAAGTTCAACTTGGTTTTGAGAATGTAGAATGAAGTGTCAATATATCTTTTAAAGGGGATCTGGATATTCTCATCCCCTGTCCTGATGATGATGAAAGGCAGATATAAGGGAATGAGTGGCTTTGTCACAGCAGATATTCACTGGCCTGAAGCCTATCATCCTTAATTTCACTGGAGCTCTAAATAATAAGTATGACAAATTATTTAAACGTTATACTTGAGTGATCATAACGGATGGTTTAAGAAGTACTTTAATAAGAGATTATGGCTTAGGCCTTCACATGGTTGGGTGACTCAGTTTGTTAGGTGCAGCTGCTGTGTTATAACTTAACTGGGTCCACTTTTAGTGTAGTTTCCCTGTAGTGCTTAGCACACCTCAGATCACAATGCTCTCTTTCTGTCCTTCATCAAGTGTGTACTCAGGGTATGCAAACTTTCATATTACTGTGTGCCACAAGGTGATCATTTCAAATATGCTGAAAACCTGTGCATATCTGATGTTTGAAATTATGCATTGAATAGTTTTCCTTTATCCAAGTAGATAAGTGATTTACAAGAACTTTTTTATGCCCAACATCTTTAATGGGTTAAGGTTTAGCCAGTCAATAGTGTTACAGACTGTTGGATTAAATTACAATTGTACTGTTGAAAATAGTTCAATTTGAGAATATCTTGGTACCTACTCCTCTGGCATTTGGCGGAGAGGGAATGGTTTTGTGAATTTTTCATTAAATATTTTTTCTTTTGATCTTGCTGTTAATAAATGTACAACAAATATGGACTATACAGGTGTGTGTAACAACAGCACATGCCAATTCATGTAAAGTCAATTTATGTTAAATGATTGACAAAATTTAGGAGCCAGCTTGTTTTCTTGGATTCTTAAAGTGACACTTGAATGGTTATGAAGTAAATTACATTTTTTCCTTTTTCTTCTTATATAATTTTAAAGGACATTTTAATCCCATTTTTTGTATCAAAATATACTGTCTCCATTAAAACTAGGAATTTATTTTTCTTGCTTCACACATCAGTAGTTAAGATGAATGTTTTAATTATCTCAAAAATATGAATGGTATCTCTTCTGCATACGGTTCCAGGGATACTGCTGACCTTATCCAGAGTAAATTGGATGATAGTGGGACTAATAGTTGACTGAAGTAGTCTAGCATGGAGGATTTTGTATTAAGAGGTGCATTGCTGCTTAAATTGGTTTCCTTTTCCATGGTTATGTGATTTCTTTATCTGGAACTCATCCAAAATTTGGAAATCACAACTATGTGGGATTTTTTTTATGTAAAGTGTTCATTAGGTAGAATAAAGTAACCCTTTAAACTGAAAGGTCAGCACAACATTTTAGCAACTATTGGCTGAAAAAAGTCAGTTCTAGCGACTGACATGGAGTATTTTCATGTAAAGATAATTACACTTGTACAGACTTATTCACATAAGAATATGTACTTAGATATATGGATAATATGTAAAATTATACTACTTCTACAGAAATATTAGTTGTTTTATGCCCGGTAGGGTGGACAGTTTACACTAATATAAATGAACTGTGTGTATTGTGACCAGTGGCAAGAATTCATCAAGGATAGGAGTGTAGTTTGTGGCCATGAAATAATTGTTCTTCTATGAAGTATATTGCTCCAAAGGAAGAATTTGTCATCATTGTCTTCATTATCATTATAGTTTCCATTTTGTTTATTATGTGCCTGATATTGTGCTGCTAGTTATTGTAATGTATGTTGGTATAATTATTTGTGTGTGTGTATGTGTGTGTGTGTGTGTGTGTGTGTGTGGTACTGGGAGTTGAACCCAGGGCCTCATACATGCTAATTAGTTGCTCTTCCTAGTCTTCAAAACAGACGTATGAGGTACATATTTTTATTCCCACTTTACAAATGAGAAAACTAAAAATCGTAGAGGTTTCATGAGACATTAACAATAAATTGTAGAGCTGGAAAATGTGAATTCTGACAGTTCAATTCCAGGTCCCTTGCCTTTATCAACTGTCCTGTAGTACCTCCTTTTTATGTAATCCATAGAGATTTATTTAAGGTTCACTGTGTGGATCACTGCTACTATTTTTTTTCAAAACACGGAGGATGCAATAGAAATAATGAGGGTTATATCTCTTGCCAACTTTAGTAGAAGCAGCATACTGTAATGGAAAGAGCTTTGGACTTAAAAAGATCAGAATTTGATCTCTGTATTTGTGTCTGTTTAGAGTGAAATAACTTTAAAAGAATCTAAAACCGGTTGCTGCTCCATATTGTATGATTTCATGCAATCACAATATATGAAAAGTTAAATATGCAGGGCATAGTGGCACTCCCTGTAAGCACAGCACTCTGAGAAGCTGAGACAGGAGGACGAAAGTTTGAGACCAGCTTGGACAACTTAGTGACTTAGGGAGAAACTTTCTCCAAATAAAAAATACAAATTGGTGATAGGATATAGCTCAGTGCAAAGGCCCTGTGTTCAATACCGGGTGCACTAGAAAAGGTAGGTATTTTGAGAAAGATTTGCCTTATGACTCTTTTAATTACTCCGTTTCTACAGTAATTTCCCTTATGTTGAACTTTTCAGGAACATGTCTGTTGTGAAAAAACAGGGTATGTGGGTATGATGGCACATTTTTGCTTGAAATGCTCAATTTATTTTTGAATTTTTACCAGTTTATCTACTCTTTCATACCTGGTTCTGTTCACTCAAATAGCTGTGTATCTTTAACCTTCTTCATCCATTTATGTATCAATATGTATCTGTCCTGGTACTGTATAAGCGTGTGGATGTTTTTTCTTCTGTTTTTGTTTGGCTGTTGATTTCTGTACGTGCAAGACACAAGACTCTACCTTGACTTAACTTGGATATCGTGGTTATGATAATGTCTGCAGGATTTATCTGCTATAAAGTCTTTATTTCTGACCTGTGTATTTACAGAATGAGCACGTCTTTCAAGACTATACAGGGCAGTATTGTGAGACAGTGCAAATAATCTATTTATCATCACACTTTTGCTCACTAATTTTAGTATCTATTGATTCTATGTTGAATAATTATTATAGTAACATTTGCCAAATGGTGCTGTTAATTTTTATACATATTCTATGTCAACTACTTAATTAAATTTTACTCTATAACTTTTCCTTTTCCAGTATTAATTTTTAATCATTTATCTATTTATATTTATCTATTCACTTGCTTATAGCAGTAGAGAGTTAATGAATATTTGTTTTATTGTATGCACTATAATTAATTAGCTCTTTTTAGTGTTTTTTTTTGGCTGAAATTACTCCAGATTTGGCTAGTAATCATCACTTCAATTGGCTTCAATGTACTTTCAATGTGTTTCCCTCATTTTTTTTTCCAACATTTTTAGATAGGGTCTCCGTATCTAGTCTAGGTTGGCCTAGAACTTGCTCTGTAGCCCAAGCTGGCCTCATACTTGTGATCCTCCTCTTTCCCAAGAGCTGGGATTACAGACAGTTGCCGCCATGTCTTATTGTTTTCCCATTATTGTTTGAGCATCTTCTGGTGGCACAAAATATTCTAAACTCATTTCTACAGTTCTTGTTCCAATCCTGGAATGAGCCATTTCTCCAAAGAGGTCTAATTCGTTTCACTGAAGAAAGGTGTTTAGAAACCGAGATCTGAGTGCTAGGCATGCTGACTGCCATTGTGGTGTCAAGGCTTTTAGTTCTCGGCACACAGAACTAGGAT